ATGAGCCGAAAAGAATGCATGTCACACCTCTGTTTATCAATTTGCACTGGCTACCAGTAGCTGCTCACATAAAATTCAAGGCATTAAAGGGTTAGTTCACCTAAAAATGAAAATTAGCCCATAAATTACTCCCCCTCAATGCATCCTAGGTGTAATGACTTTCTTCTTTCAGACGAATCCAGTCGGAGTTATATAAAAAATTGTCTTTGATCTTTCAAGCTGTTTAATGCCAGTCAGCGGGTGTTGCATTGCTTCAGTCCAAAAGAAGTTAAATAAAAAGCACCCATCCATAAAAAAAAAAGTGTCTCACATGGCTCCGGGGGGTGAACAAAGTCCTCCTGTAGCGAATCGATGCGTTTTTGTAAGAAAAATAATCATATTTAAAACGTAATAATCAATTTAATCTAGCTTGCGCTCACTGTTGTAAACAGAAGCAGTTCCGGGAGAATGACGTATGAGGTCGGCTTTGCGCAATTCTTTTTTTTTTATTCTTTTTAGTCAGTTTGTATAATTAATCATTCATGCCACAAATCATTCTGAATGATTCTTTTGTGAAGTCAGTTTATATTAATAACTAATAATGACTATAATGATTAATAAAAAAAGTTATGAGTAAATAAAGTTAGTAAGTTAATGAACTGGCTTGAATGATTCACAAATGAATAATTCAGAATGATTTGTGAAGTGGTTTGAATCATTCTTTCATACAGACTGACTAAAATGAATGATTCGAAAACGAATCGTTCAGAATGGTTTGTGAAGTGGTTAGTATAGCAAACAATATTGTACTGGATAGCATATTCTGTCATTATTTAGAAAATGATATTTTCTAAATAAATGTAATCCGTGACAATATTATTAAGAAAATTTTAATACATTTTCGTTTGAATTTCAAATTTTCATTTCATAATGGAGTCAGTGAAACTGTGAAAGTGTATCAAACATAATCCTGTATTTAAGTATTGTATTTGTAATGAACTCTCTGGGTTTGGTGTTTATAGATCCATATGAGCTACAGTGCCTCCATATAATAATCCACCAGTTATTTGGCAACACAAACTAATTGGCACACAGTCAGAATGTAACAAAACTGCTTAATTCGGGAAATTTGATTCTGGAAAAGTGTGGACTTTTGAAATGGAAAATGTGTAGGAAGCCTGTAAAACCAGTGTTTCTGTGTTTTTTGTCCCAGAGCGTCGGAGGACGAGTCCTGACTCTGACAGAGCGCCGCTGGTGTTCCCAGAGAGACAGATCTCACCGATCCCTGCTGGAGAAAGCCTCTGCTCCATCAGTCCTCCCAGCAGCCCCAGGATGAAGAGCACCACTCGCCACAGCCGCAGGTCACACGCTATTACATTAGCTTTTTACCCCCTGCATACCCCCTTTACCTTTACCCCCTGCCACTGACTTCAAGCTCATCTTTTACCTTTATAAGGGCAATTTTTAGAGCTATTCGTGTTGTCCTGTAATTGTTCAGTTACTTCATTTAATCAGAATACTATAGACCAGCGGTTCCCAAACTGGGGTGCACAGACCGACCAGCAGGGGTGCGCGAGAGAATGCTTTTGATGATCTGTGTGCATTTTTTGAAGGGGCAAGTGAAAGAGAATTTTGCTTCCCCGACCGGACAACTAATCTAATCTAATTAAAACATTGAATTAGGGAAGCACCAAAATTTCGGCGAGAATGATTATGATTTTATTACACTTGGTGTAAACGGCAATTCATAATGGATAATCAATAGTAACAAGGTCGCGGCAGTTGAGACTCACGTGAGACAATCTCATGGAGAAATCGAAACAAATGAACTCAACTGCACACAGAAGAAACATACTACGGTAAAAATTGTAGTTTTTATATTTATCACATAAAGCCTAGCCTAATTAATTAACATGACACGACTAAGAGAGTGCAGTTTTCACCGAAAATCAGTACGATTGTAAATTCGACATTGATTTTAAACAAGACTTCAAACGAGTAGTTAATATTAAGTGACTTAGGGCATATATTTTAGTACAATAATGTCAATGTGACTGTTTTTGCTCGATTTGTTTAACGAAAATAGTTCCAAACAAACTTAGCAGCAGAACTGTCGCGCATCTCTGAGCAACACACCAAGGTCGCGGCTGTTGAGACTCACGTGAGACAATCTCATGGAGAAATCGAAACAAATGAACTCAACTGCACACAGAAGAAACATACTACGGTAAAAATTGTAGTTTTTATATTTATCACATAAAGCCTAGCCTAATTAATTAACATGACACGACTAAGAGAGTGCAGTTTTCACCGAAAATCAGTACGATTGTAAATTCGACATTGATTTTAAACAAGACTTCAAACGAGTAGTTAATATTAAGTGACTTAGGGCATACATTTTAGTACAATAATGTCAATGTGACTGTTTTTGCTCGATTTGTTTAACGAAAATAGTTCCAAACAAACTTAGCAGCAGAACTGCCGCGCATCTCTGAGCAACACACAGCAGCGTCGTCAGCGGTGTTTCGTTAGGTTACTGAATGATTCGCATCTTTGAATTAATAATTTGAGTCAATGATTCAGTGGTCCATTCATAAAGACAGGCGCTTGCTTCATTCTTGAATGAATCAGCCGTCTGAACGAATCGTTTGAATGCCTCAATGACTCACTCATTAAAGGGGTCATATGATGCTTTTTTAAAGATCGTTATTTTGTGTATTTGGTGTAACAGAATATGTTGACATGCTTTAATGTTCAAAAAACACATTATTTTTCAAATACTGT